CCGCTCAAAGAGACCCTGGACCACACAAGCAGTCACGGCATTTCCCCCGTGTAGCCCCAGCCCCAGATGGCCCCTGACCAACTTCCACTCCCTCTGGATCTGTCTGCACAGTTACAGACTCAGGGCACTTCCTACACATGGAGTCATAAAATATATGACCTTTGGTGTCTGGCTTTTTGCACTTAGCATGAGGTTCCAGAAGTTGGTCCATGTTGTAGTGGGTGTCAGAACCTCACCCTTTGGGACACCTGGGGGGCTCTGTTGGTGAAGTGTCTGCCTTCGGCTCGGGTCCCGGTCTCAGGGTCCTGAGATCGAGCCCCACATCGGGGTCCCTGCTCAGCGGGGCATCTGCTTCTCCCAGTGCTCCTCCTACCACTCATGCTCTCTCTCTCTTTCAAATAAATAAATAAAATCTTAAAAAAGAAAAAAGGACTTCACTCCTTTTTCAGGGCTGGATAACATTCCACAGTGTGTAAGTGCCACGTGCGTTAGCTGTTCATCTGCCAATGGCCATGCCGAGTGTGTCTACCTCTTGGTGACTATCAGTGGTGCTGCTATGCACACGGGTATGTGAGTTTTTTGTGTGGACACAGGGGGGGCTTTGAGGAGTCGGGAACGTGGTCAGCCTCACGGCTTGGAAGGGTCTCTCCCACTGAGGGGGGAGTGGGGGGGTCTGTGGGGGTCAGGTGCGGCAGACCGGAAAGATGTGGTCAAGCCTTGGGGAGGCGTGATGCCCAGTTCCTAGCACATGCACCGGAGCCCCGCTTTTGTGCTGAGTCTCCCGGGGATAGACAACACCTGCCCGGTTCCAAGATGATCAAGAGTCTCCCATCCTTGCATGCACTGACATGGTGGGGACCAGCCCCCCACCCTGGAGAACCCCCCACCCCGGGGGGCATCTCACGAAGTCCGCTTCACAGGGGAGAAGACAAAAGACTCGACCCCTGCAGTGTCACCCCTGCGGAGGCATGGGGCCGGGCTCCACACAGACCCCCTCGCTCCCAATGAGGGGCAGCCACGAGCCACGCATGGCCTTGTCCTCTTCCCTGTGGCTCCTTCTGCCAGGAGCAGAACGTTCACTGGTGTGGCATTGTAATGGACTTAGAGTGGGGTGCTCAGTTTGGTTTTTGGCAAACCTGTAAGTATGTTTGGGTGAGTGAATCGACTTTCCCAACCATGGGCTTTCTGGGGACGGTGGGGTGTTGGAGCTGACACGTGCGGCAAAGGTCACGTACACCCTGGAGCTCGAAGACTTCCGCGTGCAAAAGTCTTCATACACTTTTGGGTTGATTGTGTGTCAAAGTGATAATATTTCAGATACATCTGGATTCAAGAAAATGTTTTATTTTTTATTTTATTTATTTATTTTTTATTTTTAAAAGATTTTATTTATTCATTCATGAAAGACACAGAGAGAGAGAGGCAGAGACACAGGCAGAGGGAGAAGCAGGCTCCATGCAGGGAGCCCGATGGTGGACTCGACCCCAGGTCTCCAGGATCACGCCCTGGCTGAAGGCGGCACTAAACCGCTGAGCCACCCAGGCTGCCCCTATTTTATTTTTTTTTAAAGATTTTATTTATTTATTCATAAGAGACGGGCACAGACATAGGCAGAGGGAGAAGCAGGGTCCCTGCAGGGAGCCCGATGTAGAACTTGATCCTGGATCCTGGGATCACGCCCTAAGCCGAAGGCAGACACTCAACCTCTGAGCTACCTACAGGTCCCAAGAAAATGTTTTATTAAAAAAGATTTGACTTACAGCGAGCTGATACTCAAGTGTAGGAAGGCCTGAAGCTCTCACCGACACCAGCCCCAGCCCCAGGAGCCCTGACATTCTGCTGAGCAGGAGAAGCCGGCCACAAGGGCTGTGCGTGCTGCTTCCGCTGAAACGAGATGCACAGCAGGGGCGAAGCCGTGGAGCTGGATGTAGATTAGTGGCTGCCAGGTCTGGGCTAGGCAGGGTACTGGCCGGGATGACAGCTGCTGGGCCCGGGCTGTCTTTGGGAATGCTCTAGGAATCGGAGCACTTGTGCTGTGGTCTACAGTGGGGTCTACACTGGGGGCTAGCAGCCACCTCCCCTTGGCTGTGCTTATTTCCCATGAGGTGGCAGGGCTGCAGGAGCTCCCGAGGGGCCCGGGACAGGGCTGCGTCCTGCTCAGGTGAAAGGGCAGCTCGGAACACCAGTAAGAGCCGGGGGACTTTGAACTGGGCTGGATTGTCGCAGCCAAGCCTGCTGAGGGGCATGTTCAGAGGTGGCAGGCACCCCGAGGTCAGCCCTTAGGTGCCATAAGCCACCTGCATGGGGCCCGGGTCTTTCCCCCAGTGGCCTGGATGCCTCCTCCATCCTTCTTGGAGGCGGTGTGTTGGTGCCCTGACCAGGCCTCCGGCAGAAATCCAGAATCTCTCCAGATCCCTACTTCTTGGCTTCAGGCCTACAAATGAAGTAAGTCCTGGAGGCTCTTCTTCCTCCCTTAAAGCCCCAAGCAACGTGCCCCTGGAGCTCACAGCAACTTGGGGCAGTGGGAGGGGGAGCTCAAGCAAGATCCAGAAGAAAGTGCCCTGAAACAGTCTTCAGGAGGTGCCACACACGACCAGCCACTTGGCAGTAAGATGGCAGAGATCAACTTGGGGTACAATCCATGGCATTTGACTTGATTTTGGTGGTTGAAACAATAAACAGTGACAAGTCTATATTTTGCCTTTTGAAGCATGATGTAAAACAAGCCCACACCCAACAACCCAGTGGGGCGTAATCTGAGTCCATGGCGGGCCAGATGGTCTTTTTCTACACCTATACTTTCCCAGGAAATGGTGACAGCTGAATTTGCATGATGTAGCTACAAATGGAATTTGCAAAATGTGTGTGTTCATGTGCTTTGGACACAAGAATAACTCCTTCACCCAGTCATGTCGGGAAGAGTCAGAATATTCACTTCCCTTTCCTCCATGAATAAAACCTCCTGGAAGGAGGTTGTGGGAGGGATGGGTGGTGGAGAGGTGGAGGGACAGAAGGAGAGATGGATGGAGGGATGAGTGGAGGGATGGAGGGAGGGACAGAGGGATAATGCAAGGATGGAGGGATGGATGGAAGGAAGGAGAGAAGATAAAGGGATGGAGGGGGATAGAGGGAGGGATGGAAGGATGGAGATAAGATAAATGGAGGGATGGAAGGATGGAGAGAGGGATAAAGGGATGGAGGGGGATAGAGGGAGGGATGGAAGGATGGAGGGAGGGATGGAAGGATGGAGGGAGGGATGGAAGGATGGAGGGAGGGATAAAGGGATGGAGGGGGATAGAGGGAGAGATGGAAGGATGGAGGGATGGATAGAAGGATGGAGGGAGGGATAAAGGGATGGAAGGAGGGATGAATGGAGGGATACAGGGAGGGATGGGAGGATGGGTAGAGGGATGGAGACAGGGAAGAAGGGATGGATGGATGGATGGATGGAAGGTGGGCAGACTCCAGCTTCCATAGAGGCCTCTTCTGGAGAAGTCTTGTATGTCCCTGGGCCCCTGCCTATGGAATAGGTCCCCTCAGCCTTGGTCCTGTTGAGGAGAGAGGCGGGGACCCTGCAGCAACTCTGGGTGTTGGCTGGGAAATCAGGCTGAGAGCCCCTGTTGGGTTGTGTATGCCTCTCCACAGAGGCTGATGTGGAAAGGAGAGCTCTCGGGTGTGTGGACAGGCAGAGAGCCCTCCAGCTCTTCCCTTGCTGTTCCGTTGTCCCGGGAGGATGCCTCCAGAGGAGCCCGGGAGGCTCTGTGAGCGCAGCTGCCTTGAGCTGCCACCCTGGAGCCATGAATCAACCAGAAGCCAAAACAAAGCCCTCAGCTGGAAGCACAGCAGGAGACAGATTCCCTACTCACATGAGGATTCAAACCCGGCGGCGTGTGGCTCAGCTCTGTGAAGCTTCACCTTCAAAGCAGATGTAATAAGAGTGCCCCCCTGCCAGGGCGTAGGTGCATGAGTGCAGGGCCTGCAGGCCCCTAAGCAGGAGATGGACAGACCTTCCCTGCATGAGTCACGTCCAGGGAGAGGAGCAGACATAGGAAGCCCAGGCTCACCCTCCCCCCGCGGCCTCCTCTTGGGGATGCCCAGGGGTCCCACAGCCACCAGGGAGGAAGCACTCCCACATGCTCCCCCCACTTCAGCGGACACAGGGAGTCTCCCCCACAGCCACCTTCCAGCCAGCTCTCCGCTCCTGCTGTGCGACCTCCTCAGTTTCTGCCATGGGGTGTGTGTGTGTGCATGCGTGTGAGCACGTGTGCACGTGTGTGAATGCCTTTCAAAGTGCTGCGCTCTGCTGCTGAGTCAGTATCTACACGTCATAGACACCACAGAGTTTTCGCTTCTCCCTTGTCACCCACCCACCCAAATGAGCTTGTCAAGGAACAGCAGAGTCCCAGGCATGGAAACTTCTTTCAACAGCAATATTTGGGTGCTGGGGCGGCCTGGCACTGGGACTTGGCTGCCTCATGCATTGCTGGGCGACATGGACAGCTCCTTCTGCATTTAGCCACCCAGGACGACAGCGGCCACTGTGTGAGGCTTCAGGGAGGTGAGGTGAGCACCCGCAGCCCTTGTGGCACTCAGGATATGGGGGCGTCCGGTACAATCAGGGGTACTGTTAGCATAGACCCAGCTGAGTGGCAATGTGCTGTGCCCGTGCGGTCTCAGGGAGCATGATGTTGCCCACTCACATAATGATGTTAAAGGTCGTCGTAGGGCAGCCCGGGTGGCTCAGCAGTTTAGCGCCATCTTCAGCCCAGGGCCTGATCCTCGAGACCTGGGATAGAGTCCCACGTCAGGCTCCCTGCATGGAGCCTGCTTCTCCCTCTGCCTCTCTCTCTCTGTCTCTCATGAGTAAATAAATAAAAATTAAAAAAAGAAAAAAAAAGGTCGTTGTAGACGTTGCTGGAATAGGCTGCAGATCACTCAATGGATGGTGCAGTTTGCCCCACGTCTGTGACTCCCGTGAGAGAATATATTGGGTTTTAAAATCAGAGTTGCGTGCTTGGCCAAGTTGTTGGTTTATTCATTTGGTGCTTCGTTCAATAACTAACTTCTTGTTGTTGTTGTTGTTGTTAGCCGCTACCACAGGCTGAGCCCAGTCTGCAGTGCTGGGTGTGAACCGAGGACAGGACAGAGTGGTCCCTGCTGCCCCAGAGCTGACATGGTCTAGAGGGATGAGACTAAGCAAGTCAGGTATGGGGGAGAGGGTCAGCAGAGGATGTGAGGGCAGGAGTCCCAGGCAGAGAGATGGCCAGTGGAAAGGCCCTGGGGTAGCAGCATGCTGGGTGAGCCCGCTGGAGAGCTGTATGAAATGAAGTCATCCCGGGAGGGGGCATATCATGGGGGATTTTCTAGGGAAGGAATTTGCTTTTACCTCCAACGAGGTGTAAATCAAAGGGCCCCTCTTTGCCCAGGAGAGTGGCAGGGTCTCACCCAAGTTCCACTGAGTCCTTGCTGGCTGCCAAAAAATGGGCTGGGGCGGGGGTGGGGGTGGGGAATGGTGTGTGGGTGAGGTGGAGAGAAAGCACTGTGACCCTCTTTTGCCACTTTAGGGTATGTGGCCAGTATTGGCAATGCTTGCCCTCCGGACTGGGGGCCCAGCTCCCCGCCTCTCCTGTGGGCTGCCCTGGTGCTTAGCACAGAGCCTCTCCCTCCCACTGAAGCCACTACAGGCTGGGCTAAAGGCAGGCCAAATGGAGGTGCAGCTTCGAGGGGACCATTTCCTTGTCTGTGAGTGTGTCTCCAGGGCGCCATGTCCTCCATAGGATGTGACGGGAGCTGCCCCCTCCCCCCCCAGGTGTGCTACAGGCAGACCTGGCAACCAGCTCTGAGTCCCAGCGCATGAGCATTGCAGGAAGGTTTTCTGCACAAATGCCCCCTCTTTCTGGCCCATGCTTTGAGTTGGTACGGTCTAGACCTGCTCGTCACCCACACCAAGCGTCAGGGGAGACAGTCTCTGCCAAGTTTCCATCCATCCACCCATCCCTATCCAGCCTGTCTGCAGAGCCTCCTAAGGACGCTGTGACATACACATGTCCCCAGTGTCCAACATGGGAAGCTGGGAACGGTGAAGGGGGTGTGACTAGCTCAGGACCGCACAGCAGCCAGGTGTCTCTGGATGTGACCATTCCCAAGCCTCCCGGTCCAGCGGGGCAGCCAGGTGGCGATAGTGTCCTCTGTGCCCGCCAGGGGGCAGCAGACGCCTGTGCGCACGGTCACCCTCCAGCGCCTGTGTCCCAGTCCTGGGCTCATCATCTTGGTTGGGTCTCTGCCCAGGCAGGAAGGCCATGAAGGGCGGTGAGGACAGAGGCCCCTTTCTTAAATTACCTGTGGGAGAGAGACACTGGCATTAAGGGGGCAGAATGAATAGGGCACCCGGGGGGAAGGACCGCTGGAGCCCCATTTTGCCCTAGGCCCTGCGCAAAAACTCTCCATGGTGTCCTGTTGGCCCCTCACAAGCAAGGGGGCTGCAGTGCTGGGGTCCCCATTCTACAGAGGAGGAGGGGGCGCTGCAAGGGAAGGTGCCTGCACAGGCTCTCAGAGCGGGCGCTGGAGGGCCTGGGGTTCAGACTACTTCCCTGGGGTTCAGTTTCTCAGGGTGATGCTGGAGGGAGGGATTCCCTGGTTTTGCCTCCTCTGACCAAACAGGCTCCCTCACACCCCTCTGAGGCAGGTTCCTTCCTGAGGGGGCTCCTCAAAGGAAGGACCCCTGCAGGGTAGCTGGGAGCTCCCAGGCCATTGGCCAGAGTTTATTCCTGCTATGGCCACGCCACTCCTCACCGGGCCTGGGGTGCGCCCAGGAGGCTGGCTCCTCCCCTGCTTTTCTTGTGGGCTCGCGCGGGGCCTGGACCCCCCCTCCCCTAGGCTTCCTCCTCGGTAGGGGGAAGGGCCAGGTTTGATCTCTGCAGTAGGCCCCAGGGGATCCTGTCTGCACTCCCAGCGAGGTGGGGGTGGCGTCCAGGGGGGAGGGGGCTGGGCCGCTGTGCTGCCCCAGGGCACCCAGGTCCGGAATTCAACGAGCGTCCGGAGTGGGAGGCCTCTCAGGGACTGCACAGCCCACCCCGTCGGCGGCCTAGAGTCTCAGGGTGGGGCGTGCCCTGCCCAGGGTGGCCCAGCACATCAGTGATGAGAACCGACGGCCCCTGACCTGAGCCGGGATCCACATCATCTCATTGCCAGACTGGCTCTTCATGCCCGTGAGGCCGCGCCACCGCCACCGCCGGGCCGCTCGCCGGCCGGGGAGTCCGGCTGCTGAAAACACGGCCCCCACCCCAGGGCGTGGCTCCCGAGGGCGTCTGGGGCCGGTCGCCGACCCTGCAGACAGCGCGTGGCCGCGGGGCCCAGGGCCCGGGCAGCTCTGGCCTCAAGACCCTCCCTCCCTCCCTCCCTCCCTCCCTCCCTCCCTCCCTCCCTCCCTCTCACTCCCTCGTCTCACAGATTCCATCTCGGGCGCCAGGATTTGCCCTCCGGGCAGCTGCAAGCGGCCGGGCCTCTGGGTCACAAAGTGGGGGGATCCGGGCCTTGTGCGGGGTCGGGGTGGGGTGGGGGTTGCCTTCGGGTCCCCGGCCAAAGCGGAGGGCGGGAGGGGGGCTCTGGGCGCACCCCGGCCCGCGTGCGCCTCCGGCCCCGGGTTATCCCTCGGGGACGGCTCCGTGGACCGAGGGGACGCGGCGGGCCCCGGCCCAGGCGGTGCCGCGTCCCGGGTCTGTCCCCGCCGAAGGGCCGTGGGGAGGCGCCCGGCGCGACGGGGACCACCGCCTGGTCGCCACCAAGCGGAGGGCCGCGCGGAGCCGGAGACCCGGCCGCCCCCCCGCCGGCGAGGTCGCCCCCGAAGGTCCCGGCGCCCCGCGGGCAGGGCGGGCGGGGCGGGCGGGCGGGCGGGCGGGCCCCGGGCCGCGCCGCAGCCCCCGCCCTCCGCAACTTTGGCGCGCGGCGGGGCAGGAAGTGGGGGGGCGGGGGCGGCGCCAGGCCCGCGCGCCCGCCCCGCCCCGCCCCGCCCCGCCCCGCCGTGGCCGCGCCCCCCGCGCCCCCGCGCCCCCGCGCCCCAGAGCCGCCCGGAGCCGCCCGGGAGCCGCCGCGTCCTGAGCGCCGAGCGCGTAGCCCGGAGCCCGGAGCCCCGAGCCCGGAGGCGGCCCGGACAAAGCGGCGGCGGCGCGGGCGGCCCCAGGCCCCGGACGCGCGAGCGAGCGAGCGAGCGAGCGAGCGGGCGGGCGACCCACCGGCCCTTTGTCTCGGGCGGGGCCGGAGCGGCGGCGGCCCCGGGGCGCCCCGGGCGCGGCATGCGGCGCCCGGAGGGGCGGAGAGCGGGGCGCTGCGGCGGCGGGCGGCGGGGAGCGCGCGGGGCCCGGGGCCGCCCGTGTGCGTGAGGGGGTCCCGCGCGCCGTGGGCGCCCTCCCCGCGGCCGCACGTGGGCGCGGAGCCGGAGCGGGAGGCGGAGCAGGGCGCGGGGGCGCAGCGGGGACCCCGGCCGCCCGCGCGAAGCCCCGCCCCGGCCCCGGCCCCGGCCCCGGCCCCGGCCCCGGCCCGGACCCCGGCCCCGGCCCCGGACCCCGCGCGCGCGCGGGCGGGATGCCCCGCGGCCGCCGCGCTCCGGCCCGCGCGCTGCGCTGAGCGGGCGCCATGGAGCAGTGGCGGCAGTGCGGCCGCTGGCTGGTGGACTGCAAGGTCCTGCCGCCCACCCACCGGGTGGTGTGGCCCTCGGCGGTGGTCTTCGACCTGGCGCAGGCGCTGCGCGACGGCGTCCTCCTGTGCCAGCTGCTGCACAACCTCTCCCCCGGCTCCATCGACCTCAAGGACATCAACTTCCGGCCGCAGATGTCCCAGGTGCGGGCCCGGGCGCGGGCGGGGGGCGGGGGGCGGGGGGCGCGCCCCGGGGCGGCGCCTCGACCGAAGTCCCCGAGCTCGGGGCGCCCGCCACGCCCGGGGTCGGTGCTGGGCGCGGCCGGAGGGGTCGGGGGGGGGCGCGGGGCGCGGGGCGCGGGGGGCTGCGGGGCCGCCCGACTTGGTGTGAGCGGGGCGCCCCGTCGCCTGGCCCGCGCCCTCGAGTGTGGCCTTTGTCGTGGCCAAGCGCGTGTGGCCGCCGACCGGCAGGAAAATGTCCGCGCGGCCGGCGGAGCTGCTTTTCCTGGCCCCTTAAAGGGAACTTGGCTGAGACTTAAGGAGAATGACGCTCGGGTCCTGCCCGCCCGCAGCCACGGAGCGCCCACCCCAGCCCCATCGAGCGGGGTCCCGGGCACTCAGGGGCCCCCGGGGGCCAGCCTGGGCCTGGCCAGCGCTGCCCGGGATCCACCTCCTGTGGGCCCTGCAGCCCCTTCCCCCGTGGCCCCCGGCAAGTCGGCAAGTCCGCGTGGACAACGGCCATTCATGTGTGACATCGGAAAACGGGCAGGGGAGAAGGACGGATGGAGTGAGTCACGGCTTTTCCAGGCTGGGCTGCGTGGCCTCTGCCCTTTGGCTGTGGCTGTGTTTCCATGGAGACGGGGGCATCCCCTCCTCCGGGGAGGAAGGGGGGTGGCTGCTGACAAAGAGGAGCCCTGAGAGGGTAGAGGGCCTAAGAGCCCAGGACCGTGGAGGCAGACAGCCTAGCGAGGGAGCCCCGGGGATGCAGGCGTGCGGTCGCGGGGCTCCCCTGGAGCCGGCACTGTCCTTAGGCTCTCTTGTGCCAAGTAACCCTGAGTCCCGGGGGCCAGGTGTCCATTCCTCACCTCTGTCCTCTCCTCGAGGGGCCGGGCTGGAGAACCTGAGGGCAGGAAGGGCTGCTGAGGGCAGAGCTGGCCAGGGGTGAGAGTGTCTGCCTTTGGCTGTGAACCACAGGGGCTGCCCGGGCTGCCCAGGCTCGCCGGCTCCTGGCAGGCTCCCTGGCTGATTGGCAGGGAGGCTGGGGCACAGGACCCAGCCTGGGGTGGGTGGCTGGGTCTGGCTGGCCTCTGGGTCCTGGAACTGCCCTTTTCCAGCTGTGATTGGCCAGGGTGGGGGCAGAGGGGGCACTCTGGCTGTGGCAGGTGGCTTGGCTCAGCCCCTGTGCCGGAAAGGCAGAGGCATCCTGGGGTTCCGGGAGCCATGGGGAGTGTAGCAACACTGACACCAGACGGTCCCTTGAGCCCCCTGTGCCCCAGCCTGGGTGAAGGGGTGTTAAGGGGGACTCGGTGCAAAGGAGAACGGGATGGGCCAGTGTCTGTGTGTCTTCGTGGACTCGTGCTGATTGAAACTTGGCACTGTCACCAGGTAGGTGACTACCTTTGGGGCCTCAGTGTCCTCACGTATTTAATGGGAATAGCAGTAGTAGGTGCCTCATGGCCACCTTGCGAGGATTCCGTGAGGTTAAGGCAAAGAATGTTCTGGGTGCATTGCAGAGTTGACGTTGGTGATTTTAGAATGGTCATCTGGACGCTGGCAGATATCACGCTCTTGGCCGAGGTCTGGTCTCCCTGACCTCAGCCCACCGGTCATCTTGTGAGGGGCGGGATGGGTCACCCCCCATCTTTGTATGTCTCTTGTGGCACAGCGATGGCTGCGGGTGCTCTGTGAAGCTGCATTCGTTGGGTCGGGGTGCAGCACGTTGGCTCCATCTGTATTTTTCAAGGTTGAAGAAACAATTATTGCCAAGTGTAGCTGTGCAGGGTTTGGGAGTGGAGCTTGGGCAAGGGGCTGTCTCTGTGGCTGCTCTTTGCTCTTTGAGAAGCTTATAGTCCCTAAAGCTGCAGTGGGGAAGATGACCTGTTGGTTCACGGTGCTTGGATCCCAAGGGAAGTGGAAGCTTCCCTTTCTTCCTGGCCCTGCCCTGGGAGAGGCACGGTCCTGGCGAGGTTATGTCACCCCCATTTTATAGATGAGGCAGTTAAAGCTCAGAGAGATGGAGTGATTTGCTCCCAGTCACACAGATTGGAAGAGGCAAAACTCCCAAGCTTAGGGTCCCCGTGTGGGGTTGCTGAGACTGATTGCATTCTGCAGACCTTTTCCGACTGACTTTCGGACCCATGCTCTGGCCTACTTCTCGGCTGCTCCTGCCGCGTGCCTGCTTCTACGGGGTGCGTGGGGCATGGGGGTGTGTGTGCCTGCTTTCTGTGGGGGTCTGGCTACTTTCCCTGCAGGGCCTTCCCATCCCCGTGCGGTCCTGGAGTGCCAGAGGCCTGACCGGCTCAGAGGCCTCCACGTGGGCCCCTCGGTCCAGGAGGCCACGCTGGCTTCTCACCGTGACCTACTGTTTTCAGAGGATAGTGTTTGGGATGTCCCTCCCCTCTGAGTTGACCTCGGCTGGGTTATTGGCCCCAAAGGAGCATAAGAACCTGTGCACTTAGGGAGTACCTGCTGTGTACAGAGCCGGAATCTCAGAGGTGTTCACAGAAGAGAGCCAAGCAACCCCTTTGTCCTGCCCTCCTGGAGCTGGCAGGCCGTGCTATAATTTTTTTTTAAATCCAAAATGCCTGGAAGCCACCTTGGGTTTAATTAAGCTAATTAGGTATGGCCACAATCTGCTGATCCTAATAAGTGATCATGTGCGTCGGGGGGTGGCTCTGGTGTGGAGGGCCCGAGGATGCTGATGCCAGCAGGCAGCTCTTGCTTTCGGTCTGCAGTTGAAACCTGTAGGCCACCACCCGCCCTGCCTCTTGCCCGCACCACTCTGGCCGGCCTCCTCCCTGGAGAACAGATCGGGAACCCTGGCACCCAGGGCGCACTGGAGTTACTCCCATCCCTGCCTCAGGCCCCTCGCTTCCCATTCTGTACCTTTGCTGTCAGTCAGCATCAGTTAGTCTAGAGGCCCCTCCTCTAGGAAGCCTCCTCTGATTGCATTCTCTTGTCCTGCGGCGGGGCAAGCCGGGCCGTGGCCCCCGGTGTACCAGGGGTGTGACCCTCACCCTGTGCTTTCCGTGCTTTCACTACCCAGCACGTGGGGGCCACACGCTTGCTGCTCAGTCTGGAGGGGGACTGGGCTGAACCTGTTCAGGACACCATCTCGGGTCCCGAGAAGCCTGGCATCCCTTTGTCGCTTTGCGCCTTCACTGCCGCGTTCCTTCCTTCCGAGGCAGGCTTTCTGGCAGGCTGGGGGCCGCCTGGGCCCTGTCCTGCTCTTGTGATGCTTCTAGGAGAGTGAGGGTGCGGCGGTGTGGCCCAGATGCCCAGGTCCGCAGAAGAGGCCTGCAAGGGCCTGCAGGTGTCCGGGGGTCCCGAGAACGCAGGTGGCCTGGGACTGGGCCCTGAGGCTGAGGTGTGTGATGCCAGGGCAGCGGGCAGCCCACAGGAAGCCTCTTCTTGTCTTTTTTGAATTTTGAAAGTATCTTGGACTCTCGGCAGAGCTCTGAGTGTACACATACCTCTCCTCACCCCAGCGGAGCTGAGTGGGAAGTTTGGTGCCCTCACTCCGAACCTGTCAGCGCGTCACCCACAAGCGAGGGTATTCTCGAGCACAGCTCAGCCTCTCAGTTCTGTCCCTGTGTGTGACCCATTCACGCCCCAACAGGTGTCCCTGGAAATGCTGGTTCAGGAGGAGGGGAACCTGGGGGTGCGGCCTGCGCTCTTCCTCTCCAGTCCGCTGTCTGCAGGGGCGCTGCCCCCTTCCCTTGCCTTTCATGACCTCAGTGCCCTGTAGGTTCCAGGAGCCTTTTGTTGCAGACTATCCCAGTTGCGTCCTCTTGGGACTGGATTTGGGTTGTGCGCCTGTGGGGGAAACAGCCACGATGCTGCCGCCTCCTGTCCTGTCCTGTCCTGCAGGTGGCAGATGGCTTGGCTTTATCTGGTTGTGGAGATGCTGACCTCCTAGGCAGGGCCTGCTGGTCCTCTCCGCAGTGGCACTCTGTCCTCCGTAGTTCAGAGCTCTCCTTGTGAAGGGACTTGGGACAAGATGCACCTCTGGTTTTTCCTTCTTCTCTTTCTGCCAGTTAGGATTATGGCTTCCTGTTTTATTTTTTTAATTATTTCTTTTATTTTTTTAAGTTTGTTTATTATTATTTATTTATTTATTTATTTATTTATTTATTTATTTATTTATTTATTTATTTATTTGAGACACAGAGAGGCAGAGACACAGGCAGAGGGAGAAGCAGGCTCCATGCAGGGAGCCTGATGCGGGACTCGATCCTGGGACTCCAGGATCACACCTTGGGCTGAAGGCGGCGCTAAACCACTGAGGCACCCCAGCTGCCCTAATTATTTCTTTTAAAATGATTTTACTTATTTATTTGAGAGAGAGAGGAGGAGGAGCAGAGGGAGAGGGACAAGCAGACTCCTTGCTGAGCGTAGAGCCCAACACAGGGCTCCATGTCATGGCCCTGAGATCGTGACCTGAGCCGAAATCAGGAGTCAGACATTTAACTGATTGAGCCACTCAGACGCCTCACGTTCTCAGCATTTTCTGAGCACTGCCCTCCTTCCTGGCACGTATGCTTCTTTGTCTGAGCTCGAGAGTCAGCCATGTCTCCGAGGAGCTCTGTTCCATTGTGGAGACGGGTATTTAGAAGCCAAGATCTGGGTGCTGGTGTGCACACTGCTGCAGGGTGTCCTTGCTCCCAGGTGCTCTCGGTGGTGGGAGCTGGCGGTGTATGCATGTGTCTGTGTACACCCACGGGTGTGGATGGATGTACTGTGTGCACACACGCGCCTGGACATGTTTACGTTTGTCTTTCTTTTCTATCTGTATAAGTGCTGCCAAATAGAAAAAGGTGAGCTCTGTTTTTTATTTCAGAAGTTATGGTGATCATATTGAAAAAGTAGAAACACAGGGCATTAATTTTAAGAATACATTTTATTTAACCCTTGTCTTCTCAGGGGGCGGTGATGTGGCCCCCAGGTGGTGGAAATCAGGTCTTTGGAGGTGAAGCAATCATGTC